TGTCATCAGCCAACTTATAGCCAGTATCCCATAAATGAGTAGGATCTATTTTTATACATTTTGAAACTTTGAAAGAATGGGAGAGTATTAGAAAGTAGTTTCTGCATCAGTTCAGAGAAAGTGAAGTGATTTACGTGTCAATTTTCCAATGCTGTTATTATACTTCCAGAGGCATACTGGTGTCTCTAAATTCTGCAGAGCTCCCTGACTTTGAAATCTATTGGAATATTGAGAACAGGGCCATACCACATGGCTGTACAGTCTGCGCACTGCACAAGTCCAGGGGGGTGCCGGTCACATAGACCATGTTTGAGCTCTGTGCTGACAGCTCAGGGCCTGGAGCCTGCTTCAGATTCTGTGTCTCCCTCCCTCTCTGCCCCTTCCCCACTCATTCTCTCTCTCCCTCCTTCTCTCTCCCTCTCTCTCAAAAATAAATAAACATTAAAAAAAAGAAAGAAAGAAAAGATACAATCTCCATCTACATTTACCTTACATTCTAGCAGAAGGGAGGGAGACAGATAATGCATCCAAACCAAGTATGGGTACGGTTTATCAGAAGACGGTGTTAGGGAGAAGAGGAAAGCAAGAGGGTAAGGAAATGGACCACAGCCACAGGGAAAATACTATTTGAAATAAGGTTGGCAGAAAGGTTTCACTATTGGCAGTTTTGATCAGAATCCAGAAGGGAATGAGGGATAAGCTGCTCCTACAACTGAGGCAGGAATATTCTAGGCAGAGCAAAGTGCAAGTGTAAACACCCTAAGGAGGAAGCCTACTTGGTACAGCCAGGGGACAGGATAGAGGCGGGGTGGCTGCAGGGGACTGGATGAGGGACAGTGGTAAGACAGAAGTCTGGGGCCTGGCGCTGAGAGTCAGATCTCTTAGGTCCTGAACAGTTTTGTAAGGACTGGTCTTTACCCAGGTGAGATCGGATGCCACCGGAAGGCTCCCAAAGGAAGAGTGACATCATCTCATTCAGGTGTTAAAGGAATCACAGGGCCTTTGAACTCTTTATTATGTAAAACCAAAACAATCTCCCCAAACACTCTAGGAATGCTTTTTGTTTCTCTTTTGCCAAAATTAGCAACGTGATTTAAAAAAAAAGATTTCCTTCTTTAAGTTCAGTGTGAATTAAAATGTTTTCGCAAATACATTAAATACTTGATGAAAGTGGTAAACGCCAAAACTCTGAGTCCCAGTAAGCATTAAAGCTAATTCATTTATTCCCTTCCGGATGTTTCCGTCTGCAAAACAATCCAGATTAGTTCCTATTGGTTACAGGGGAAAGACCCTGAAAAGAACAATCTAAACATCTCAACTGTGAGGGAGACTGTTTTATGGATTATAAAGGAGCAGAGATGGGGTTAATGTGGTCAAGGCTGCCAGGAGGTTAGCTGCTCAGGAAGCAATTTTAATTTTGTCAAGTTAACCTATCTTGTGAACACCATGTTCCAGGCCTTCCAGAAAAATTTAAGCAACTCCACTGTTTAAAAAATGTCACAAATGCCTTGTCTTCCCAGTGGTTTCATTTAAAATGCAACAAGGTAACAGTTGTGCATACAGTACAATTGTCATTGTAAGAACTATGCTCCATTTTCTGAAACATTTCTAAAAAAGCATTTATAGCTGTAGAGCTCTCTTTCCAAAGAGCTCCGCAAATCTCCTTTTTAACCACCCACCAATGTATCTGGTATGTATTTATGGATGTTTCCTCATGTATGCAAAGAGTTCATAACAAAAACTAAAAAACAAAAAGGAACATCTCTGGCTTACAGTCGACGGGTTTCTACATTGATATGCCTACACAGATTCCTCTTACCTCTCTTTATGAATAAAAATATCCCACAAAGCTCAAGAAATACCTTGTAAGAAATACTAAACCCCAAAATAATGTCTACCTCAAACCTGATTTGCTTTAGTGTCATGACTAATTTGCATCACCGAACTATTATCACTCACATAGTAGATTCTGAAGAGTTTGGACACATTAAGAGTTGGGTGCTTTATGAGTTGGACACATCCGCCTAGAAAGCCAGTCATCAAAATCAATGTCTGTGCTGTGATACTTCATTATGAAGGGAGAATAACACCCGCTGTCTTTACTATGCCCAACCCTGTGCTAGCACCTGGCATATCTCAGGCCAGTTAGTCTTTGCAGTAACCTTATGAAGTTGGAATTATTATCTGAATATTAAATAAGAGGACAGTGAAGTCAAGGAAGCAAAATAATTTGTCTCAAAGGACATAGCTCGCTTCTAACCAGCCAGAATTCATTCAGGCCTTGGCCTGACATCGAAGCCCTTGCATTTCTGTTCATTGTAGGCTGGTTCCACTGAGCGACCCTGTCTTATTTAAGATATTAAATGAAATTAAAATTAAATAGCTTAATTATTATTGTCATCATAATTTTTCTTTTTAGCTACCACTTTTGAGTGCCTTTTTTTTTTTTTTGAGAGAGAGAGAGAAAGAGAGAGAGACAGATGAGAGTGAGGGAAGGACAGAGAGAAAAAGAGACAGAGAGTCCCAAGCATCCTCTACGCTGTCCGCACCGAGCCTGATGTGGGGTTCCAACTCACGAAACCCTGAGATCATGACTTGAGCCAAAACCAAGAGTCTGGAGCTTAACCAACTGAGCCAACCAGACGCCCCTGAGCGCCTTTATAATCTACCCATCCTTATTGTAAGAACTTGTAATTCTTACATCTACCTTGCAAGGCAAATATGCCAGCATGGTGCCGGGCACTGTGCATACTGTAGCCAATTTCACTGGTGAATGTCCTAATTTTACTGATGAGGCGACAAAGCTAAGAAGTCATTAAGTGACCCACCCAAGGCAGGGAAGTGGCTGAGCAGGTATTTACAGACGCAGGCCTGTCTTACTCCTATGCTGTGGGCTCTTTTCACATTCCTTACAGTTTAACAACTTTAAAAATAAGTAACACCACACTCAAATGAAATAATCTGAAATTTTACAATTCTAACAGGGAACTGGTAACTTAAGACAATCTGTAACTATGTTTCAACATTGAAAATAGTTCGACTAGATACTTCTGAAAATGATCCTTAAAGCTCAACATTTTCATGGCTTGGTTCATGTTTTTACGTTAAACTAAACTGTTCTTGATCCCTTTCCATGGGTTGGAATCCTCAAACAATTGTCCTAGAGAATCCACACTGAGGTAATAAATTATAAGGACCTGAATGTTGCTGTCGTCTTGCTATTCAAGAAATACTTAGCTTTAATATGCTGCACATATCTCCCTCATATTTCCTTAACTGGCTGAAAGAATTGAAAGTTTAAAGAAATTTCCCAAGATGTTGGTTTCTTAGTCAATATCCAACCAGAGAAGGCCTAGATCAATAAAATAAAGGAAGTAGGATGACCTGGAAAATGAATTTCTCATCTCTGACCTGTTTCCATATCTTGAAGTTCTTATGATCTAGTTTTGAATATACACTGCTTTTTATAGTGAATGATTCCATTGGTGATAACCATAGAAGCAAATACATACTTAAGTTACTTGTTTGACTAAAAACAAAATAAATACTATTATAAAAATATGCTTATACTGTTATACTTTACATAACTGTGATTTATCCATCAATTTATTTCTTTGTAGACAAAATAACTCATACTTTTAAAGTCTAATCTAATCAGCTTTTCTTGATAAAAAGAAATAAAATAGGGAAAATTGTTGGAATAAATGGCATATCTAATTTTTCAAATTTTAACCCTTAAAGGGCTTCTCTTGGGCTACAAAAGTATCCTTCTGCTTTTTAGTGTGTAGTCAAATTTTCCCTTTAAGGTATACGTAAATATACAAAGTCTTATATTTCAATTTTGACTAAGGACTAGCATAAGACATAACTTTTCACTTTAAGATGAAATTTTCCCTCAAAACATACCCAATCCTTCGATATCCAAGAATAAGCTAAGGTCACTATTTTGTAAACTCACAGCACTAAGATTTTCCAAGAGCATGGACCACTTTTTTTTTTTAACTCTTTGGTATGCTTATTTATACAAAGTTTTGCAGAGATGTAAATGTTAACCTCTTATTTCCATTGAAAACAATACCATGATGATGTCAGGACTGTCCTAGACAATCTGGGATTCATATAATCCATATTTCAGGGCAAAATAAACCTCAAAGAATTATGGCTAAGTCACACCTACTTCCTTCCATTAGATTATTCATTATAATTCCCCCAATTTCTGCAAAAATCCACCTGACTTAGTGTACAACTCAGGTTGAGACAACCTTCTAGAACATTTCTTGGAACAGCTAGAAGCCAGCTCTCCCTTCTATGGACCCACATAGAAACCCATTTCTCCCTTAAGGCATATGTCCCTTTCTGTCTTGCATTATAGTTATTTGCTGACGAGGTGTATTTTCCTCCCAGACAGCAAGCCCAAGGGTACCATCTTGAATCACATTCAATTCTTCCGTGATGTTAGGTGTTAACTAACACGTAGTGGGTTCTCAAGGAACACTGAGTGTGTACTCAACGATTTTTGTTAGCCATGGCAAATCGTCAAAAAGAATGAAAAACATATTAAGTATTTTAGGAAGCCCTTGGTCAAGAAAAAAAGCCACATGAGTAGAAAATTCTTTGAGAGGCGAATCAGAGTAACTGGCACATAAAAGTGACACATTCAATTTCTTCACCTTTATATAACCTCCAGAAGATCAAATGTTAATAAAATATTTATCTTCAGTTGTCACAAGCCAGACTTTGATTTAAAACTCTTGGGTACATGAATGTCATGCCAGACCCAAAATACACCATCATGTATTTTTAATTTAAACATGGATCTGTAAAAAATTTATGTATGCCTGATATGAAAAAACGTGGGTGAAACTCTCCCAACAGTCATCACAAACAAGAAAACAGAACCTAAAAATGACTGCTGAACTCCTGTAAACTTATCAGGGAAAGCATTCCGTTTGCGAGTCCCCGTGTGCCATCAGTGTGACACAGGGAACGCATCCTCTTACCTTCAGGGAGTCAAAGCAGGCAATGACTCTTCCGTTCTCCACCTGGCAGCTCTTGGGGGGGTGAGCAAATTTGCACTCCTCATCAGAGCGCGAGCATGTGCCCCTCTGGAACTGCCTGCAGACCTCCAACGTCAGCCATTTTGTGTCTCTGACGGGGGCCACGTTCAAAGCCATGATGCTCGAGCGACTGGGATTCTGTTTGTTTGTGTCAAATGATGAAATCAATCCAGGTCCCAATGATTCCGAGACTACTGTTGTGAAAAACCCCACATGTGAGTCTGAAGGTAAGGGATCAATTGCTCAGCGAGATCCAATCCAGGAAGCAGTGAGGAGAGAATTTATCGGCAGGCAGTCACTCATCAATCAATATGCCCCACTTGAAGAGAGTGGGCCGCAGCAGAAGCACACTCAGTGTCATCTCTGGCTGTAAACGTCCGAGTCTCTTCACCGATCTGCAGACACAACTGTTTTTAATAAAGTGACTTCAATATCATGGCACTCCTAGGGAGGATATTCAGTTCTGACACTCGCAGCTATTGACGGTGCTGGACAATAAGCCACCCAGACGTTCAGATCTTGGCGAGATTTCTCTTTCCTTCCACCCTTCTAAATTCTGAAATCGAGCAATTGGCAAAGTCAGACAACTGAGGTATCTTCATCCACCATAAGGTCAGGGCAATGCGCATTTGACGGAAGAACGATTTGAACACAAGAGCTCAGGCTGCAGTTTCCAGCGAAAGTGACTTCCCACAGGCACTTTGAAATCATGAACCTGTGGAACACAAAGAAAACATCAACTTACACCCAAACTCAATGGAATCAACACTTTGATAAACTGTTTTCGCTCTTGTGTAGAATTTGCAAAAGTGCAGTTCAGAGCTTTGAGGTTTGAGGCTAGTGAGGGAAGTTATGCATTAGAGGGAGAGACAGAGAGAGAGAACACAACTGCAGCCGTATTGCAGAAATGATCTAGGCAGCAGTCCAGAAGTTAGGAATGACTCAAACACATGAGTGTGGCAGACACAATAATTAGGCATTCTGAAACAATCCCATCTAATGTGCTTTATCGCCAAAACAGCATATTAGAACCGTAGCTTCTGATTAATTTCACATTTAGGCCATTGATTTTATTGTTGGAAATGCTATAAACAATTACTTGGGATGTGTCTCTCTTGTGTAATAAGGGTACCGTCACTTTGGGTGAAGGGTGGGCTCCTTATTCTTTATATCCTTTCTCGTTTACAGAGATTTGAACTTAGAAATGGTTAGGGAGAAGCTTCCTAATGTTTATTTTTAGGTCTCTTATACTTTCTCTCTACGGTTATTACTTGCTTAATGTTAGTATTCCCCTCTCTGCAGTTAAGCACTCAGATGGTAAGAACTATTTATATTTGTCATTTCTGTGTCGCTAGTGCCTTAGTTCATGGCTATTAGTTCTTCAAAAATCATTTACTGACCAATTTAACTGATGACTAGCTCACTGCCAAAGGAATGAAGGCAAGCTAGTTTTAGATTTAGTTCAGTTTAGTTTTTAATGGACTCACAATCTCCATTCTGTGGAATTCTGGAGCTAAATCATATACCTACAACAAAAATATAACTAGTAAATTCAGATTTCTAAAATTATATGTCCTTTCTTTTTATGTTTTCAAGGATTATGAAGTAGTTAAAATATTAAAAATGTAACATCATTGGGTCCAGGAGGGATAAAGGACTAAATACTAGAAGCTGATTGTTTTCATATATTGTAAATGCTACGAGCCACTTTCGACACATGCCTAGCCTTGACGTCCTTCTAAAAAATTTTAAATAAGAACTTAATGGAAACTGGAAGTAGAGTATTTAAAATCAGCATGTACGAATAAGTTCAAGACAGTAATAACTTTTGAGTGATTCACCTATGTCCCTTGAGGAAAGTAGGTCCCATGATGATTAAGTTTAGTTAACTCCAGGTAAACCAAACTGAGCAGGCTTCCTTGCAATAAATAGGGCTTGTTTCGGTCTTGAATGAGTCTCCAATAGAGAGAGAGAAACAATGGCGTCTCCCAAGCTTATCCGGTCATGGAATGCTTATTTAGCAGGACATCTCTTGGGACAATAGGAAATGCTGCCTCATCTCAGTACTTCTTTTACTTGCTAGTAGAAGTGTGTGAATGGGTAGTGACTGTACGTGCATTTAAGGAAACTGGCTACCTTGAGGGCCATGACACACACCTGACTCCGACTGTAAAATACTTGAGGGGACAGGCAGGCTACTGCTTGTCTGTTTGGAAGCACTGTGTTCCCAGCAGCTAACGTCAACTTGCTTAACGAGGCAGTTTAAGATGATGAGTTTAATAATCAAATTTACTCTGGGTCAGGTTTCACGAACCAGCCCGGGCCTGCATCTTCATTACCTCAATCCCTGTTTCAAACCCCCATGGAGAACAAAGGATGAGTGAAGCAAAGGAACAGAGAACATTCCTGCCTGTGTATTCAATGGAGCAGAGGTGCTAATAATGAGGTTTAAAATGATGGGTTGGACACATCTCGTTTATATTTGCACAATATTTTATAGAGTCCTCGAGTCCTATGGACCAGGGTCTGATGGGATTACAGGACAACAAAGATCCAGGAGAAGCTCGTCCCTAAAGATGGCATGGCTTTGGCCATGGCTATTCACGAGTAGAAAAAGAAATGGGCAAATGTGTATTTATGCATAAATGGCAAATGAATAATTACTCAAGTATTCCTAAAAACCACATAGAAACAATGCTCTCAACCCTATCTAATGAGCGGGGTAGACTTTTGCTTGTATTTTCAGGTAAGAAATAATTGTTTTCCCAGGAGAAACAGATTGCCATTTGTAGTTACTATGAAAATCCAATCAGAATTTAGGGAGTCAGACTCGAAGGAGATGAACTTGCTTTTTTTTTAAATTAATTTTTAATGTTTATTTACTTTTGAGAGAGACAGAGACAGAGACAGAGCACAAACTGGGGATGGATAGAGAGAAGGGGAGACACAGAATCCAAAGCAGGCTCCAGACTCTGAGCTGGCAGCACAGAGCCCAATGTGGGGCTCAAACTCATGAACTGTGAGATTGTGACCTAAGCTGAAGTCAGATACTCAACCATCTGAGCCACCCAGGCGCCCCTGTACTGCCTTTTAAACACAGAGGAGTCACGCTTTCTGCTGGCCAGAGTCCTGTGTAAGTCAATGGTTTTCCAGAAGGAAAAGAAGGCACATTATATTGTACCTAAATATATTGCTATCCTCTCACAAATCCCCTTTTCCCTCCTGCTTGCTCTTGGTTTCTATCCTGAAAGTTACAGAGTTAATGTTATCAAAGACACGGCCTCCCTTGGCTCGTCACAACCTCCATCTTCTGGGATGAGTATAAACAGGCAGATGTGGGAACAAGGAAGAGAGCACAGATTTGAATTAGGTTAAGGAAGGTCACCAGAGGAGATGGCCAATGATGGAAAAGGATGGAGAAAACCAACTTTTGACATGGCCATCATGGGACAAGACTAATCTCTACTAGCACACACACCGAAGCACATATTGGATCTACCAGACTAGATTCCTTGGGAGGAAGTGTTGTGTTAGGGCTTCATCTACGTACACGGGAGCCACTAGCTACCTGTACCTACTGAGCACTTGAAATTTAGCTAGTGCCACTGAGGAACTAAATTTTAAATTTTTATTTTTTCTTAATTAATGTCAACTTAACTGAAACGTCGATCCTCAACTTCGTTATTGGAAACCTTTCAAGTGGGCTTGGACTGACCTGTGTATATAAATCCACTTTTCAGTTGTAAATTCTATGAAATCTGAATACAGATCAAGGATGTCCAATGAGTTCAGCTCCTGAGTTGTGCTCTAAGTATAAAGTACACACTGATTTCAAACACTTCGTATGAAAAAAGAATGTGAAAATACCTCATTAATATTGTTTCACGTGTACCGCATGGTGAGTTGATAACATTTTAACCAGTTGGTGTAAATATTACGATCAAAATTAAGTTCATTTGCTTCTTTCTAGCCCCTCCAAAATTCAGAGCTATATGTAGCTCACGTTTTATTTCTACTGATGGCGATATCTCATGGGCTTTTGCATTTTTTTTCTCTCAGCCAACACAGAACATTGTCGAATGGTGGAAAGTACCCTGTCCTAAGAGCCAGCTTCTAGCCCTCATTTTGCCAAGGTTCCTTCATGTGACCTTGGGTAAGCCCATTTCTCTGAGATTTAGTTTCTTTATCTGTAAAACGTTGATAATAGCTCCTGCCTACTGACATGGTTGCTGTCACAAAGGACAGATTATAGAGGGAACAAAGAATACTTCGTAAAAGTAAAAGGTAAGTGCTGTCCCAATGCAAGGCAATGAAAGGAGGAGTTCCTCTATACATATTTACTGAATAAATCCACTTTCAGGCTTCCTCTCTCTCTTCAGTCATTCTACGTCAATGGCCAGACTTATGCCTCGTGTGGATCTGCTCCAGCTACAGATGCTGAGAACAGGGCGGTGCCTCAGAGATCAAAGGAATCGACAGAACTGTGTACTTGGGCCTCTTATCCGGAGCATCCCTCAGTTCTCAAACTGATTTCCTTCGCAGCCAGAAGGAACCCACAGAGAAGTTTCCCCAAGTGCAAATCCCAGAGTGCTCTTCGTACAAAGGCCTGACGCTTGCTTTCTTCCTTCAGTTGGTACTAAACCCGGAAGTGTATCAAACACTCTGAGGGCAGGCATTGCCCCTGGGTGTGGCACACAGCCCAAATATGCGGGAAGCACTGCCTGGGAGCCTGCTTGGTTTGAGGGCCTGCTGGAAACACAGTGACAGATGTCATTCCCCAGTGCTCTGGGTGAACGGGGAGGTGGCATTTCCTAGTTCATCTGCCCAGAGGGGCCCCTAGTAAAATGTGTCTGAGTGTAGAGGGCATCCTTTTCTCTTTCACAGAAAGGTCCATATATAGTGCCCTTCGTCCTGCTTATATGCAAGGACGTTTCTGGGTTACCTGGAAGCTTACAATATTTTCCAGTTCTTTCTGTTTAAGTTTCTCCCAGTGCTTTGCTTATGCTTCCCTTTTTCCACTTTTTTTTTTTTTTTGACTTGTGCTTCAGTTTTATTTCCAACATCACAATCAATGCCAGCCCAGTTAGCTCCTTCTGGTGCAGAACCCAGGCAGAATTCAGAAGTAATTGTTCCCAGTTCTTTCTCTGGCCTTCTTTCTTCCTTGGTATTCCTTTCCTTGTCCTCCTCAGGCATTTGGCAGCCTCATATTCTCTCCCCCTCCTGGCTTTCTAAGCCCCTCATGGAGGAGGAGATGCCCTTGCCCTTGAAGGCTCGGGGGAGCACGGATCTGGCAAGCGCTCACTGCCCCTGTACCCTGAAGTGCAGTCCCTGTTAACCCTCTTCACCCCATCTGATGACCTCTATCTACCCACTTTCTGACAGTGCCTGGTGATGATTGTTAACTACTACTCCCTAAATCTCCAGAACTTCCATATTGACTTATCCAACCGCCTGCTCCCCACTCCTCAAGGTTTCTCCCTGTGTATATAACAGACTCTGCCTATTATCTTCCAATCTTCAGACCTCAGTTCAGTGCGTGGTGTCAAGGATACACTCATCAAATGTTTGTCAAACGAACTCCTGATCCTCCTCCAAGGAACTTTTGCATTTTAATGTGGACCAGAGTCTAACCTAAAGGAATAAGGCTCTGAATAGGGAATTTCAGTTTTATCCTGGAGGAAAATTCCATCAGATGCCATGGACTTAACTTGTTGC